AACTGACTGAGGCTAAGTCCAGGGAACAGAGAAAAAGCTCAACAGCCAACCTTGGGGAAGAGCTTGAGAACCTAGAGTAACGTTAAGAATGTCAGCATCAGAATCATGTGCTTTTTTCTAGATTGCCACTGTTACAGTGTTTGGTTTCAACAGCTCCTATATCTTTATTTTTCATCCCCTCCCCATGTCAGCCTTATAAATCTTATGTGTTTTTTTAGACTTCCAAATGAAACTGTAATTACTCTATGAAAGCTGTCCTGATTTTTTCAAGAATTGCTGAATGCACTCATCGTTGAGCTAGAATTGTACCAACTGTGTGTCTACTATTTTGCCACAAGATATGGTGCAATTATTGTGGTCCCAGGGTCTTTTTTCCTTTCTCTAAGCTAAGAGACATTTATGGGAGAAGGTAGTGAATTGTCTATCTAGCCCCTCTGTTTTTCTAGCTTGTCTCCCCCAGCACCCAGTGCTGTTTTGTTTTTTGTTTTAGTTTTTCGGGTGCTTGTTGAAGTAGAGTTTAGCAATTTAAATAGTCTTAATTTCACAGGTCACAAAGTTTAATTATGCACAAATGTATGTAGTTTGACCTCAATCAGGTATCTCAGAAAAGAAACAATGTAGAAGTGACAGCTTATATATTTTAAGAAAAAGCAACTTCTGAACCCCACATCACTCTAAACATTTCTGTGTGTAAATGTGTATTTTATATTTCATTTTTTAAGTCTTAGTTTTTTTTCTTCCTATATATTAAATTTGATGGAATTTTAAACAAATCCTAAAAAATCATTCTGTGGTTTCCATTACACCCTAGCAAACATGACAAGTAACACTGACATTTTATTATGAAGAAGATACATTAGCTTTATGTTTAAGATAAGAAGTCATCTTTGTGTCATGCTGACACGACATTTAAAGTATTGCTGACAAAAATAAACAATACAGAAAGGTTAAGAGAAATGAATGGTAAAGAACAAAATAGTTTGCTAAATAGTATTAAAAGTTATTTGTACAGAGCTATAATTTAAATGTGAACTTAGGATACAGAAGGATCCTTAGTAAGCTTTTATATCTGTTAAATATTTTAATTATTATGACTGTCAACATCAGACACAGTCTCTATACATGAACTGAGTCCTATTGAATTGGAACTGCTTCTAATAAAAAAACCAAATTCTTTAGTCACTTATTTACTTTTGAAAGATTTTGAAACAAAACACCTTGTTGATGTACTAGTTAGGATACTGCTAAATACTGTAACAAGAAAGTCGTTACATTTCAAGAATTCAAAATAATATCAGGTTTGCAAGAGTTTACCGCAGGTATTCCTGACAGAAGTATGACTTTCTTCCACATGGTGATTTGAAGCTCTGATTTCTTTCATTTCCTAAGGTATTCGTGTTCTCTGAACTTGACTGGCAGAGGAATAAAGTGGGGTAAAGACATCAAACCTGTATCTTGATCACCTTTTCCCAAGGTGACACATGTCACTTCTCACCCCTTTAATAGGAACTTTTATATGTCCCTACTTAGAAGCAGGAGGATCTGGAAAACCTGGTTCTTGGCTAACTAGCTGTTTACTAGCAACAGTTCTATACTGGTGAAAGCATGAATCGTGGCAGATAGTCAGACGATGTGCCATGGTTCACCCTTGTGCCACCAAGTTGTTTTGTTGCCCTTCTTCCTACACATAGAACACATTCACCGCAACTCAAGAGAAACAGCCCAAAGTCCTATTTCATTTTTATATCCAGTCCAATATCTGCATCACAGTTAGCTGTGGTTCTTTGTAGTCTGGCAACCTATGAACTAAAGTTCATGGTAACTGCTTACGACACCTTCCCTCCCCATTCTGCCTCAGCACAAATCCAATATACAGTAAAGGAACAGAAACAGGAGAGCTACAGGTAAGTTTGCCATGTGGAAAAAGGAGAAGCAGGAAATGCACGGCAGTAATTGTCCAATTACAATAATGAAATCCTATCTGGCAGGCACCGTGAAGACACCCTGCCAAGGAAGTGTTCCAGATCTCTTGATCAGAGCTGTATTGTGTATTCTGAAAATAACTCCCTCGTCCTTTATTCTCCATGGCCCTCTGGGCTCTACACCTTGGGAGCTTCTTCCTTATCTATTTATTCATAGCGAAATTGGAAAAGAAATATGACCACCTTCAGCAAACTATCGCAGGAACAGAAAACCAAACACCGCATGTTCTCACTCATAGGTGGGAATTGAACAATGAGATCACTTGGACTCTGGAGGGGGAACATCACACACCAGGGCTTATTATGGGGAGGGGGAAGGGGGAATGGGGAGGGATGGCACTGGGAGTTATACCTGATATAAATGATGAGTTGATGGGTGCTGACAAGTTGGTGGGTGCAGCACACCAACGTGGCACAGGTATACATATGTAACAAACCTGCACGTTGTGCACATGTACCCTAGAACTTAAAGTATTAAAAAAAAAAAAGAAACATGACCACTTTTTTGGTTGTGCAATTTGGGAGCCTGGAAACTATTTAACAGACCATTTTGAAGTTTAAGTTCAGCATTTACCAATGCACTTCTCTTAGAAACAGAAGATTTCATATCTGTGGACTTCCCCTTGTTACACGTGCCAATGTTCACACCTTTATCAGTCAGTCTGTCCAGAAAAAGAAACATTTCCAGGTCTTTCCAATGGAGGGAATGTAACATAGGGAATTAGATATACATATGATAGGGAGAAGCCAAGCGAATGATTGTGAATATACCCAGAAATTAACTAAATCAGGAAACCATTGCATACTCTAGGGAAAGAAGAGCAATAGGAAGAAGTGATACTATCAGAGCTAAGAGTGCTGTTAATAAAAGACAAAACTAAGTCCTATTGAAGAGGAACTAAGCTCCTTGAGAGATGTGAGCCATTCATATTCTTTAATCTTTGTGTATCCTCACATAATAAGAACTCAGTGTTTGTTTAATTGAACAGAGCTGAGCAATAAATCCTTCCACTGACTTCAGTGAGAAATACCCATCAAAAAATAAAATGTGGCAGAAAGAATGGTATTCGATATTGGGATAGCCTTTAATTTGTGGATCAGCCCAAATCAGTTATCTTGGGACCTAATTTAGCAAACCATCATCGGCATTTACAGAATGAGAAATTGTCAAAAGTTTTAATTTAAATATTCTCTTCCTGTATAAGAGTTTAGAGTTTGGTACAATACCAATTTTTATATAAACATAGAAGGAAGAATTAAAAAGCAATAAAGTCTGTAAGTGGCTCATGCCAAAATATTTTTTTTTAAGTTGGAATGGGGGATGGGTGTGGAGAAAGAGAAAAAGCTTTCCAGACTTGTTAGGAAAATAGCAGCTATAGCTGCAGTGGATATAGAGCTCTATCTTAGTCTTTTATTCTTTTTTGGAATAACCTTCTAAGTTGATAATGATATTGCTTTGTCTACTGGTTTGAGCCAAAAGCTATCATCTTATTTTTCTTTACTGTCACTTAAGAAAGAATCTGTAAAATATTACATTGGATATTTTAGCAGTCAAAATGAATTCTAGAGTATGATCATAATTGTGAAAACATTGCAAATGTCATTTAGTTTGTTCTTAGATGTCCTTTATATACTTGAGGATATGGATATGCTGGATTCAACACAGCTATGGCTCTTAGGAAAGGCTTGAGAAAAGTCTCAAAATAGTAGATACATTTAACAACTTGCAAATTGAGAATAGTTTGAGAAGCTTGTATGACTATGTTGTCTTTCCTAGAGAGAAGGAGAGTCTTGCCTAAAGATTTCTCAGTGAAGATTTCTACTTATACTATAAATGAAGATTTGAGGGTAGGGGAAAGGTATGACAAAGTCAATTGCCATGAATGCTTTCAAAACATTTTACTATTAGAATCTAAGAATAGAAGGCAACCTTCTTAAATTGATAAAGACTATCTGTAACAACTTGAGATGGGACTTTGTTTTGTTATATTAAAGTAAAATTATAACAATATTACAAAGAAATTTCAGATTCACAATCACTTTGTGTTGCAGCAAGATTTATACACAAGAAGATATGTTTCAATATAGTTTTAATGAACATATTTATTCTGTTTGTGAAAAAAAAATTTAGCATACCTGAGAATGTTTATAATTCTTCCATTCATATCTAAGCTTCAGGCTTATGGCTTAAAATATAATGCAGTGCACTTCACATATTTGTTTTGTCTTTTAGCCTATAATGCTCCCATTTAAAAATATTAAGACTTGGAGGTAAACTGTGCCTAAATATGTCATAACTGATTTTAAAAGGGGGAAAATGCCTTGTGTTATCTGCATGGTACCTAACATCTGAAGAGTAGGCTTCTCTTTCTTGGGTTGACTCTGTGAAGTGAGGGTCGTGAAATAATCACTTGTTAATTTGGCGGTTTTATTAAAAGTAATCACTTTGTTTCAGTCATTATAATATCTGTAGTTTTGCAAACACGTCAGGAAAAAGTCCTTCTTTGGTATTGATCTAGTGCAGAAAATGTGCTGTTTTCCATCTCTAATTGAGTTGATTTATTTTAATACTATTTTATAATGATGATAAAACATGAGGCATATTTGTGCTGTTTGAAATAATTGGCTTTGGTTTTTAAGGATGTTATCGATAATTTCAAAGAATATCTTTCTGAACTGCTTTGCCCTGAGGAGTTTAGAATTTTCTTGAAATTATGGGTGTCTCTTGAGTATTTTTCAACGTCAATTCAACTGTAGCTTGTTGTGCTATTAATTCATTATGAAGTGACACAGGAAGAAAACTCATTATGTGATAATGTGAAAACATGTATTTGTCAAAAAATAAATTAAGTCTGTATTGAAAATCCATCAGCTATTACAGTAGGAAGTCAAATGGTTTATTGGATACATTTGGGTGTTGACACCATTTTTTCAAACAGGTAAACATAGAAAATATTTTAGTTCCAACTCATAGACACTCTGTATCATGCATTTAAATATGGTCTTTTTTCCATACAGGTGATATTATATCCAACTTCTAATAGCTCCAAATCAGCTGAATTACACCGAATGGTAGTTCCAAAAAATAGCCAGGATTCTGACTTAAAAATCAAACTGGCAGTGCGAATGGATAAACCAGCACATATGAAGCATAGTGGGTGAGTATAAATTTGAGGATTGGTTTCCTGAATTATTGAATTTCATTTCAGTGCATTGTTTTTGTCAGTTTAGTGAGAGAACCAGTATAGCAGGCTTTTACACGGAGTTTTCTCAAAAAGTGACACACAAAAGTTATCTTACTCAATGTTTTTAGACCCAAAGATGGCTTTATAGCTCAATACACGGGTCTTTAGTTAAGATAACTGTATGCATGCTACCACAATATTGGAACTTGATTGTGTTAGTATTACTCATCAGTCATATTGACACAGGGCACAATACCTTTTAAGAAACATTCTTCAAATTACAATAATAGTTGAAACAAGTTTAGCATTGAGGTCCCTAGAAATAAAACCTCCATAGACTATATAAAAACTAAAACAGAGTGTAGATATAACCCAACGAGGCTGTATATATTTTGACAAGAGGGATATGAGTGTTCATCCAAGCATGTGAGTGAGAACTGAATCAATATTGGAGAAAACTGCTGTTGCCTGGGGAATAAGTGCAGGTACTGTCTCCTGGGGATCACCAGGGGTCAGAGTCAGCCTTCATCTCTGCAAAGGTTCTTTGTCTGTTGCAGCTGGTGATGAAACAGGTCTAAACTCTTGAATAAAATGAATTTCCAAAAATCCAGGACTTCCTCAGAATAACACTTTGGACTTACTATGGCCAAATCCCAGCATAGGGTTATTAGCCATTAGGAAAGAAAGGTGACCATTTTTCTTACTGTGGAGAGTAACACTTTGGACTTACTATGGCCAAATCCCAGCATAGGGGTATTAACCATTAGGAAAGAAAAGGGACCATTTTTCTTACTATGGAGGAAAGTAGTTGTTGAAGTGGCTTACCTTGAGTTTGGCAACAAACACAGAGGTCTTAAAAAGTATATCCTTGTAACAAGCAGAGTCTGCTGGCATTGGGGCCCAATCACTAGCATCAGGGTGGAGTGAACTGATGATTCAAAAAATGAGGAGGATACTTTGGACGACCATTAGGGGAAACAAAGTTAGGCTCTGGGCAGGGGGAAATCCAAGGTATACATTACAGTTGGGATGGAACTAAGGACTGTATTGCTTTTTGGTTTAGTAGGCAGCATGTGCAGTGTCAGACCTCACCAAAGGGAAAAAGTACATGAGAGGGTGGGCTCTTAGAAAGGGAACCATGATTCGGACAACCAACATTATGCATCTTTAATGTAGTAATGTAAAGTCAAGTCTAACTATGACTCAGCTTATAATGCACATAGAGTGTCTGGGATTTAATATTTAATTCATGCATCCATCTACCTGCTCACCAGTAACTTATGCAGCAGGCATGTATTGAGCACTTACTGTCTTCCAACTAGGACACACTTTAATATGATATTATTGCAGGCCTATAGGAACTGGCTAGTCAGGGATTCAGACTTGTATGTAAATAATTATGATAGTGAGTGATAAGTGCTGTAAGACAGAAATGGGAACCTGGGAAAAATAATGCCTGATTTTTGACAGGTACAGTGAATGAAAGTCTCACAGGACACCTGACTTTTGAGATAAAACTTAAAGGATAAATTTATCAGATAGACAGTGGGAGAAATGGCATTCTAGCAACATGACAGCATGTACAAAGGCAGGGAGTCCTGGAAGGACTTTTAGCTGATGATGACAAGTTCAGTGAAACTGTCAGAGTGCTTTGAGACTAGAGAGAGTGCTAGTGCTCTAAAGTGCTTAGAGACTAGTAGAGTTACACATAAAAGAACACAGTATGTTCCAGGAACTGCAGTTGTTTCTCCACTCTTTTTTACTCAGTCCCTTTTTCTTTTGATGAATGGAACAATAAAAAAAAAAAAAAAAAAAAAACTCGGAACCTATCATAATGTCAAGATGGCCCTAATTTACCCATCCACAGTACCATGCCATGGTGAATACCCCTGGACCTTCAGCTTGTCCCAAGAACAAAGACCGAACATGCATAGGGCAGGTCCTGTAACCTTTAACTCCAGTGGGAAGAAACTCTTGCTCTCACCTGGCAGTTCCTTGGTTTAGCATACTCCAGGATAGGTGAGACAATCCAGACCCCTTACAAGGCTTGATTTGGAGGTAGGGTTTGTTTTTTTCACATCTCTTTGAATCAGTACCCCTAGAATGACCCTGCAATTGACTTCTGCCCAAGACTAAAGGTGAAGGAAAAGACTAAAGAGGATAGATATTTCATAGTCTCTTAATTTAATCCATAAAGCTCAGGAACTCACTGAAAGACTCAGACCAAAAATGCATCATAGCCCAACCATATCAATTATTATCTAACATTGCTAAGAGATACAGGCATTTCTAGATATTTAGGTATCTCTTCAGTTTGTGATATACACATTGAAGCAATGTTAGAACTGAAAATTTTCTGTGATGTTATGCTAACATAGTGTGTTGTGTAGCAAAATTAAGAATGTCATATTCCAAAATAGTGATTTGATTAAAATATTTTAATACTAATATTAGAAGAGTTGAACATTTTCCACATTGCTATAATAATAATTGATCCCTACGGACAGGGACAGTTAGAGGTGCTTTAACCTAAGCATCTGTTCTGTTTCCTCAGTACCCATGTGGTAACAGTTTTAAACATTTTGAATAATACACCTATGTGTAAACATATATTGGAGAACATTTCACCTACAGCATAGCTATATTCGTCTTTTTCTGAAGTACTTCATAAATGGATTTTACTGCACTTAGTTACATTTAAGAAGACAAAGTTAATCTTTTTCTTCCAAGTATTCCGTCATACACCAAAGCAATAATATAACAGGAATAGTAGGTTAATAGCATTTTGCTTTGAGCCTGGATCGTGTTTTGTTAATCATTTCTCCTATAATCAATAATTAACAGATGGATAATTTTAAAAGAGACAAGTCAAGTTTTAAAAATATTAATTTATCTTTAAAATATAGCAAACTCTTGTTACAGATAGAGTTGTTAGGTGGATTAAAAAATAAATTGGAGGATAATGGATTTTTATCTTCAGAGCACTTTAGACTTTGAAATCTTTTGGGACTTCAGTAGTAAAAACCTATTCTCTGTTTTAATAATGTGGACATCAAATATATCTTTCTTGCGTGAACTATTGTAACATGTATTCTCTGTTTTATTCATTTATCACTTATCTATGGCCCTTAAAAAATATTTTTATCAATGTTATTTATATTTGTCTGTGTGTTCTCAACTGTACTCTGTTTCTTAGACCTATTTGAATTCTCAATGCCTCCCACAGTGTATAATCAGAGATAGATATTAATGTGAATAATGATGGTGAAAATGTAATATTGTGCTCCCTAGGCTATTAAGGGAAAAGTAATACAAATGAGAGTAAGCCTTATTTACAAATTGAAACTTAAAGGTTCTAAACACAGTTTATTGGGAATAGAACATAATTTTAATGTAAGAAAATGCCTAAAATAAATGAAATAAATGGTGTTTAGTTCTCAGTGTTGCATTTTAAAATGACTGTTTTTTTAAACCAGAAGGTAAAATGCATCCAATCTAAAGCTCATGTTTCTGATAACTAATCAGTCCACCACTATACATTATAATTTATTTAAGTATGACTAACTACATGTAAATGAAAATTAAGCATAACGATGACTCCATCCTTTTAAAACCAAACTGAGCATTACCACAAGACGTATATTTAGCAAAAACGAGTTTATTTATTCTTTTGGAATATGTCATCTAAACTAATTATAGAAACTAACCCTTTGATAAATCTGTTGAACAAATTACCAGCTACATTTTGAATGATTAAATGATTCACATCCAGCTTTTGAATTTATTTGCCTGGTTTGTGTGTGTGTGTGTGTGTGTGTAACATGAAGATAGAAGTGTTCTTGAACAAATGGGTTATACTTTAGCATAGCCTAGTGGCTAAGTAACAGTATTAACTTAAAACTCAAATAACTATTCCTGTTTTTATTAAATAAGATTATTTTCCTAATTAAAGGTTATTTTCTCAACCAAAAGGGTAAAATAAAATGGAACTAATAAATGATGGTTATGACAATTAAATCTATAACTGAAAAAGAGAAAATTGGCTCTCACAAATATATGGAAGCATTATTACCATGATCTATGAGAAGTCTGCATGCAACTGATTACTTTTATAGTAAAAATAGTTTCATAACTATATAACTATAGAAGGCTTTTATCATAGTTTCTAATTGGTAAGAAAATTTTAGCAAAACTACTCTCAGATGAATCTCATATTTCTCTTTGTGTAGAGTCATGCTTGGCTATTTACACATTTGTTGAATGAACGGATGGGTTAAAATATTTTGACATTGTTACAAATAAAACTCTTTAATTTCCATCATAAAGATAGAAAAGGCATTGGGCTCATCTCTTGTTGCAAGGAGAGACAATAATTGAACTTCCAGCAGGAAAAATGAGACAAGCCCCACACTGGCTGCATTGTGGCCCCACCATTTCCCAGAGAGAGGGCCAGCTGGGCATCCAGAAATTGGAGCAGCATGCCTGTGTAAACTGCATTCACACACTAAATATTCAGACATTGTATTTGCTCATAAAGTGAAATGACTGCACTCTAGTAAAGTTCCATTATTTATCTTATTATTCAAGGTTTATGATCTCCAGCTAATTTAGGGGAGGAAAATCTTAGCTGCATCAAGGTAGTATTTGCTCAGAGGGTCCAGGCTTTAAACGAAGCCTAGTCTGTTCTTTCACAAAGAAAATTGATATTTCATTTTTAAATGTACCTTTTAGAATGACTTCCCTCTGTGTCCTTGTCTAAAATAACTATGTTTCGACATCTGACCTTGACCTGAACCTATGTATGTGTAGGTCTGCTTGCATTCCCAGGTTGAACTTGGCCCAGCCTGGCTTATCCTGATTTCACCGAAATCCTACTTGAGTCCCTTGAACTGTAATCATCATCATCATCATCATCTTTTTTTTTTTTTTTTTTTTTTTTTTTGAGACAGGGTCTCACCCTGTTGCCCAGGCTGGAATGCAGTGGCACCATCTTGGCTCACTGCAACCTCTACCTCGCATGCTTAAGCAGTCCTCCCACCTCAGTCTCCCAACCAGCTGAGACTACAGGCATGCACCGCCACCCTTGGCTAATTTTTTTTTTTTAATTTATTTATTATTATTAAACTTTAAGTTGTAGGGTACATGTGCACAACGTGCAGGTTTGCTACATATGTATACTTGTGCCATGTTGGTGTGCTGCACCCATCAACTC